AACTTTTATAACTAATAATACCAGGTTTTCTTCACCATTCACGCTCGCTCATTGTGTTATTGCATTGTTTATTTGCCATTTTTCCTCACACATTGCACAACTAATGTGGCACGTCATTTTCACCCGAACGGTAACCTAGTTGCGTATGAGAGCGATGCCAACACACATTTGAAGAAATCCAATTTGCTTGAAGTTTGCAATTGTTTTACGGGCCTTGCATATACCGAACGGTACGGTATGGTTGCGATAGCAAAATCAGACTAAAATGAAACAATAAACTTAACTTAATTTTACCAACTAATAAATTTATTGCAACATTCCACATTCACGAGTCAGCCCGCTCGGCTACTGCTGTTGCTGCTCAATGCAGGCTCTTTTTTCGCTCGCACCATTTATACATGCACTTATTCATTTCTAATTTCATTTGCTCAAACCACATACACATTGGGCTACAGCGCTCATGAATGTGTGTTCGCTCACTCTCTCTCTCTCTCTCTCTTGCTCGCTGCCACACAATCGGTGTTCTGTTCACACCAAAGAAGATTTATTCATGCTACTCGAGCGTCATATTTCATTACTAAACGGACGAAAACTGCATAAAGATAACATTAACTGGAGCTCGTTTATAATAAAATAGATTTTACAGATTAGACAAAACGCCAAAAATGTGCACCAATTTACCCGTGTATGCATATGCCTGAGCGTTTGAACAACAAAAACCATACGTACCACAGCGTCGCGAAAATAGAAATAGAGTTAATGGAAAAGTGATAAAAGTGATATGCAAAATGCATTAAATGCGATGCCATCCATAGACCAACTGTCATAAAAAAAGAGCATACATATACACCGAAGTGGTGGAAAGGAGAGCAAAAACCGATACAAAATTGCAAACCGCAATAAAATCGTATCAGAAAACCATAAATGTGAATGAGTTGAATGGTGGGTGGATAGATAGAAAAAAAGGCAGCACATTTTACAGCGTATGGCGTGTAAAAGCGGTTTAGTGAATGGTGTGGCGCGCGTGTGTATGTTGGCTTTTTGCATGTATAATTTTTAATTGAATTTGGATTATGTATGATGGAGTGTCGCATTCAGTAATTCGACCATTCATTGCATACGAAATTACATGTTACGACAACTGCTTTCAGTGCAATCATCTATGACCGAACATCATGTGAACGAACGCCGTAGTCGTATCGCTCTCATGCTGCCTCAATCGAATTGCACGCACACATTTTAATTGAAAACTCGACACGAAATCGATCATCAAAGTGACACATTGCCCATAATTACTTTTAGTGTGTGTATGTGTGTGTATACAAATGTGTTTCGGTACCTGTAACTAAAACCGCGCCATTACAAAACATCGAAACGTTTCGAAACCAGTATTTTTCGGCCGAATGCAATATTTTTTGCGTTTAAAAAAATGGTTAAAAGTTTCCATGTGATTTTAATGGAGTGATTTATTATTCCCTCAGCGATACCATTCCTTCAAATCGACCAGAAAAATTAATCTTTTACGAACGTGTCGTTTTTTGATTGTTCACTTTGTCGTTTGAACGCGAAACCAAATAAAAAATAAATTCCGTGATGATTTATGTACCTGACCTATGAGCATGCGATTGATATGCGCGAGGCTTAGTAGTGCTTTGCCGATGGCAAAAAAAGCGGTCGCACTGAAAGTGAATGAGAATTTATTAGTGTATCAGCGGTATGAATGCGCCGCCCGTTCAATTGTTTTTCATCGAATCAACAACGTTGACGACACCGACAACGAGTGTAACAACCAAAACCATAACAGCACGAGCAATACCGCCAGCAATAACAGCAAAAAGTGAACCAATCGCACAGAGTGCACCAACAAAAAAACCATTGTCAACAACAACAACATCGTTTGCATTGGCAGTGGATGCAATTAGATCCATTGCCAAAATGGATAGTTTTGTACGATTGTGGTGGTATTGTGCCACGATACTGCTATGGTGACTAGTACTCATCACACCGATCCATGCGGATGCTATGGTTGATCCATTGAAAATATTCTGGGTCCTTACAAATAGCTCATATCTAGGTATGTAGTAACCAACATTCACTTCACTTCCATCAACATCATTCAATCTATTCAAATAAATGCGGTGTATGTGTGTGTGTGTTTGAATTTTCGAATTTTGTACTAAAATAGATTGTGTTTGTTAAATGCCGAGTCTCGTCATAATGAGTGTGTTCGATCAATTGTTCGACTAGCAAATTTTGACTTTGCTCGAAAGGATATCAAGTATGTTTCGCATTAATTTGTTTAGTATCATGATCATAATTGGTTGTATGCTGTTGACAGAATGTTCCGGGATGAACCGACAAAATGCAAATAAAACGACTACACGACATGATGCGTTACGGGAGAAAGGTTTATTGTAAAGGTGCCATTGCCTTTATTTGCATTTTGAAAATCGCTGTCCTTTTCAAATTTACATCCAATCCCCCATTGTGTTTACAAAAACGTATCGATTTTTCGGGTCATATTTACTGATTGAGCGTGACTACAACAATATGTTCTCCATCTCTTACACATCAAAATCCAACCGCTTCACTTGGATGCCAATTCCCGAATTTCAATTTTAAATAAACGGTTGTGGTGGTTACCACAATTCTGATTTAAGCGAATTATTACGAGATATTCTCGCTCAAAACGCACACTATCATACAATTTCGGAGAATGCAAAATCGGGATTTATTTCAGTCGCTCAAAATAATACGTGTTGTGGTCGAAAACTTCAAACAAGTCAAACAGATCGCCTCTGTCCCGCAGCGAATGTTATGCGAACGCACAGATTGCGGGAACAATTGCAGTTTGCTTTAGTTTTTTTTTTTTTCATTTTGTTTAAATATCATAAACAAATCTCGGTTTTTCAATTGCGATGCGATGCGATGCGATGCATATCAAGATAAACAAAATAACAGCAGTACAAAACCATAATTTGTTTACACAGGCAAAACTGTTTGAAATTGGATGTTGTGTTATGATTGGTCAGTGGCAAACAGTCGAATGACTTTTGTGCGACTGAGTTTCCATTGTGAAGTTCCCTTTGAAATCACGATGCAGTGAGTGCGAAAGGAGGCAACTGAGAGGGAGAGACATAGGGAAAACAACAACATTTTCGAATTTCGCCACAATAATTCGCTCGAGCCAAAAAATCAGACTTAAAACTTTAAATCAAATGCAACTGTTCCATCGAAATGTCAGAATGCATAATGTCAAAATCAGTAGGAGGAACAATAACAACAATAAACTACGCTACCAAAAACCAAAATTTACAAAAACATGCACGAACAAGTATTTCGGATAAATTGTGACGTGCAGCATAAGTGCGGAATTAAATCACAGCATCGAAAATCAAATATAATAAACAAACGAGCATTCGAGGCGTATAAACAATTCAAAATAAATTTCACAACTGAATGAGTATGGTAAGACACAGCAGGATTGGATTAATAGCCACTTATGTATGTATATAATGAAATATTTGCATCGCCAGCATATAAGTGATAGCAAAACGCATTTGCTGCTGCTGCTGCTGCTGCTGATGCTGCTGCTTGCCTCAATATTTATTTGTTTTGACTTGAACATTCAAGAAGCATACACCACACTAAAAACAATAAATAATTCGACAAATACGTTCCAAGATCGAAGCATTCGATTCAAAACCCACCATAAAGAAATTCGACCGAATCGAATTTCCTGGGCTATTCACTGCACATTTGTGTAATCAAGAGAGAGAGAGAGAAAGAGAGAACGAGAGAGAGGATGTGTCCGTGTGTGGTATTTGCATGCGGCTCTTGACTTACGCTCCTATCCCAAGTTTTTGCAACGAATCTAATTTGTTGATAAAACGTTAATCCATTGTTTGAATAAGTTTTACTGGGCTTGAATATCCTCTGAGGGCTCAGTAGATCCATTATGCAAGTCAAGATTAGTGTTTATCTCTCAGCTTCAACCACACAAACACACACTCATACACACCACATGTGTACACAAAACCTTGATTCCATTCCATTTCCATAAACGTGTGGTACATTTATCAATCTAACCAAGAGGTCGAAAACATTATAATTAAAATGGACTAACGTTTCCTCAATATTATCTATCGCAATCTCACAAGGCTTATCAATTAAAGAACTCTCAGTATAGTACGAGTACACCGCATATCGTACCGTACAAAAAGCATGTGTGTGTCATCAAATCGACACACACTTGAAATAATCACGTATGCAGTTGATCTGAGGGTCGAGAGAGAATCAGCAAACCGAATTCAATATTGAGTGAAATTGTCACGTAAAATCATTAGTTAAAACACGTGATATGAAAACAAAATGCGCATTCTTTCTCCCTTTTTTCGTCTCTGTCTCTCATCTGCGGTGAATTTCGCATACGAGCTCACTCATTTGCTTGGTGTCGAGCAAGGGACTTCGCCCGTATTGCCAACTTGTTTACAATTGCTTCATATTGTTGAGACGTTTTATTGTTTCCGTTCTTTGCGTTTCAATTTCATACATTGAACGATGAATGTGATGTTGTTTGCTGCTGCCGATGTTGTTTTTCTCTTCGCATTTGCTCAACTGAATACTAGGAGCGAGTTAGAAAGGAAGAAAACTTATTTGCGATGGAATGCCATTTTTCTCTTCTTTTCAGCATGCACCACAATACTGACAAATTCACTTCATGACATTCATTTAATTGGAGTTTTCTTGGTAGATTTGTTTGTTAAACGTCACTCGACAAAACTCACAAATACAAAAACACCTTCACAAATACGGAACTCTTCGAACGTTCACAGCTACACGCACGCACTTCCAATACAATGAAATCTTTTTGCTATTCTCTTTTTCACACGACGTCCCCGTTCCCGTTCTCAATGAGAACGAAATACACACTCACACAAACAAACGAAACATGAAAGATTTCTACGAAACGTGCCGTTCGTTTACACATTGTGTGATCTGAATTCAACTCTTTCGTTTCGCTGGAGCTGTCATTATTCGCATGACGTTTCCGACAACATAAAGTGATTTTCAACAACACAACATTTGTATGCACCGGTTGACATTAATTATTTCGCTGTTTTTGTGTCAAACAAAGTGTGTGAAGGGAATTTTTTTTTCTCGCTCAACTAGTGAATTCTCAAACGAAGTGAGTATTTCAAAAGAAAAAAGAAGAAAAAAAAACAAATTTCGTTTCTATTTATTCAATTTGATTTTCTCCTCTCGTCAGCGCATTCGAAACGACGCAATAAAATCGAAAGCAAAGTTGCACCATTACACGTCTCAATCGATTGGAAATTACGTGCATCAAAAATGACGGTGGAAACGAATGCAAGAATCGAACACGCTGAATCGGATAACTTGATGCGTAGTTTCAATATTTTTCCGAATTTTCGTAAACCGGTCAACAATACCGATGTGCGCATCAGATCGATTAAATTTTCACCGGACGGCCAAAAATGTGTGGCGGCCAACAATGAACGAACCATTGAATTGTACGATTGCAATACGGCCCGGTTTGAAAGACACTATCAATTGTTTAAGCATGGCATTAGCACCATGGAATACATGGATGCGAGTGATAAAATTGTTGTCGGTTCAAATGTTCGTGGTGATTTCGGCATTCGTGAGCTAAATTTGACAACCAATCAGTATGCGGCCACTTACATTGGACACGAACAACCCTCGTATTCGTTGTCAGTAAATGCGGCCAACAAATTGATCCTTAGCGGTGGGTGTGACAAATCGATAATGCTGTTTGATTTTCGCACTCCAAACGCGCAAGTGGCCCGTCACAATTTAAGTGCCACTCACAATCCGTTGGTTGCATTACATCCATGGACGGATTTGTGTGCCGTTGGTCTCGATGACAGTCGCATTGAAATCTATGATTTACGTGGCATTCCATACGGGCCGTTTGCCGTGTTCAAACTCAATAACGACAATGTGCGATGGACGAGCTTCAAATTTTCGGCAAATGCCAAACAATTTCTCATCGGCACCAATAGCCCGAAAATTCGTGTGGTCAACTCAAAAACTGGTGTCATTCAACAAGTCTTTGGCAGTAAGTTTTCAATCGACAGATTTGTTGTTGACAATCGAGTCATTTTTGAATGTTGATTTCGTTTGAGCAAAAAAAAATCGAATTGAAGAATAAAACGGTGGTTTTCAATTCTCTTTTTCGCTTGATTTTCGCTTTCACTTGGTCAAATTCCACCTGATTCAATTCGATTTTCAATCGAAATTCAATTTAGAAAACAAAAACTCACATGATTGTGATTCGAAACGAAATGACATCGCTACAATAATTTCTCTTTGAATCAAGGTCGTCGAAACACGCTGGATATTCCGATTGCTGCATCATACACACCAAACGACGAGTACATTCTCAGTGGTAGCTCCGATGGCAATGTTCTCGTGTTCAGCAACAACAAGAAAAATACGGAACGCGATATGATGGGCTATGAACGTGAACAAAAAGTGGCCGAACTGCATTCATATCAGCCGGAAGCAATCACCGCCGTCGAAATGAATCCCATATACTCGCTCATTGCATCAGCCAGTTCGTATGTCGCATTCTGGACACCAACAATTGAAAACTAAATTCCATGCCAGATTTCTCAACCTAAAATATATATGTTTAGAAAAAATGCACTTGGTTTGCATCAAAATGATTGAATTGTTTGCAAAATTCATTCTGAATATTTGAACTCTGAATCCATTGTGCATGTGCATTTTGCACCCTTTACAACCATAGACATTCATGTGAAATGAATGCAATAAAACTATTTGTTGATCAATAAAAGAAGGAATTTGAACGTAGCTATAAATATTTTCCATTGTAATGTACATTAATACTTGGGTCGGCGAATCTGCATTCCTATCTATTGGATTCCTTTCGCTTTTGTTCAATCAATGGATTGAGAATTAATTCCAATTGAAATACGTATTGTGATTCCAATTTCGGATGACCGCAATATTAGTAGTTAGTATTGTGCAATGGTCGAAGCCGCATTCACCCATTGTCAAAAGAGCTTCAATCTGTTCGTTGCATTTTCACCAACGCAATGGATTCACAATCAGTGACAAATCTGATTCTGGTTTAGTTCAAAGATATGCCAATCCAATTGAATAGTCAGTGGTTTATATGTAAAATGCCATAAAAGGAATTTATCTACCGTTTTCTCTTTATTGATCTGAATTCACCTATTGTTCTATCAAAACTATACACACATAGATATGCAAAAGTATGTGCACACACTCATCAAAAACGAATCCGAATTGCAAATAGGAAGAGGAAGAGAAAGAACAACAATCACATCAATTTCAAAAACGAAAGAAAAATACGAATGATGTAATCAATTTTCAACAAAATATACTGTTGATGGTGTGTGTTTTTTTTCTCATGTGACGGAGAGAGATACGAGCGCGCATATTTGTATGTTTCGTTGCTTTGAGGCACTCGTCGCTACATTTATTTCGAACGAATGTGTTTCTATTTTTATTGCTTTTTGCAAGCAAACGACAACCATATTTTCCCAATTTATTATTTATCAAAACGAGATACGATCATGACTGACGACTGTTGGCAATGCGACAAGCTTACATCGTACAACGGCCACATACACACACTCACTTTATTTCTGCTTGTTGTCATTCGTATACAAAAGCAATTACCGGCACACACACACACAAATGAAACACATTTATGGACGTGAACACACTTACAAACCGCCATTCGTTTTGTTTTTTGATACCCGCTCTGTGTGTGTGTGTGAGTCTATTTGCACAACCTAACACATTTCTCTGGAATATGAAGTGCAATGTTGGTCTCGAAATGATAAAATAAATATGATCATTTTGTGACACAAAAAAAAAAACAAAGCAAACGAAGAACAAAACGGGAAAACATTGCGCATTGTTTGAAGTTATTTTAATGTTTATTTCGGGTTAGTTCTTTTTTTTTTTGCTTGGTTGTTTATTTGCAAAAATAATGCCATTGGCGTTTGCCAACAGAATCAGAAGAATAGCGAAGTCTACATTTCGACTGCGATTTTCTATTTTTATTCGGTGGTTCAGTTCAAAGGGGAGTATTTTTTTCAGCTTTTTTTCTTGTTTGTTTTTTCTCATCTTCTGAGAATTCTTCAGCTCAAAATCAGATTTGGTATTCTTTAACTAATTCACGGAACGTCGTACACAAATGGCAAAAAAAGAATTGAAATCCAATTCTTTTGAAATTTCACTCTTTTCTTTCCAAAGTCACTTCATCTGCAGCAGAATAAAACAAAAGGTTTAGAGACAAAATAACAACAGTTGCACGCTCGCTGCTCGGTTTAATTTTATGGCATTTTAATTCGACGTACAAGAAAAACAACGGCAACCAAAGCCAAATGATACACATCATTGACTGCATTTGATTGCTTTGGTATGAATGAGTTTCATTCTTCTCCGCTTATTTTACTGCGCTCATTGTTGTAATCAAAGTGTACTTCTTTCCCATTATAAAGCCAATAAGATGGGACGATGATCTCAAATTACAAAATCCTTGTCGTGCTTCGATTCGATTTTATTCGATTGAACTCCAGGCACTTGAACGAGAGTATTGATCGAAACAGTGTCGTCTAGAGACAGAAAAAAAACTTTTTGAGAATCGTTTTTTTGTTGAAATGGGCCACTTTGATGATAGCACGCATTAATGAATAATCGTTTTTGTTCTGGTGCCAAGCCAAAAAAATGCTGAAACGACCCAACGATCGTGGCAACACAGAAAAAATCGATTGTGGGAGCCATTTCGAAAACGGCTTAACTACTCATAAATTGGGGCATTGACTTCAACCATGCTTGTATGTGTGTGTGTGTAAGTAACATCTCAATCGAGGTCTCCTCGATGAGCAGCAAGCAGTGCTTGTTGCAAGCATAAAATGCGTCGCCAAAAGGTAACTTATTAGAGTAAAATTGCTGCACTTTCAATGGGATTACAAATTGAATTTACATTAGATTCTATTAGAAATGACTCAATGAGAAACTGTCAAAGGCTCTCTTATACAGAAAAAAAGGGACAAAAAAGATGTCTTCCAGAGAAAAAAAGGGGTTTTCTATGGTTTTTACAATCCCTCTGCAACTTTGTGATCGCATAATAATTCCATGCTTTAACAATGTTAGAAAAAAAAGAGAAAAGACTGTAAACTGCATTCAAAAACCGAATGCAATGTAACTTTGTATGGAGAATAAGAAATTTCTGAAAGCTAAAATAGCTGTATATGAGTGAGTTTAAAATGGTTGGCCAAAAGTAAGAGTATAACCACCGAAAATAAAACCAAAAGACGACGACGACGACGACAACGACGGCAAAAGAAGAATGAAAATACTACATAAAACTTTTATTGAAAATGCTTTTCAATACACAGCATCCAAACGTTTGGCTTTCGTACATATAATTTGGGAAGTGAATTCAATTTACATCGCACCCATAAACCTTTTTGAAGCAACAACAAAGTTGCATGTCATATTAATTTACTTTAATGCATTGCGCAAAATGTGGGGTGGCGGACAAATGTGAAAGCGATGATTTTTTCCCATTCAACTGTGATTGCTCGTGCATCCAACGGCAACACGACACAAAAAAAGTATAAACCGTCGCCTCTTTCAGACTGAAAATATAAATGTAACTTATTTGTTGTTAATGAAAAGGCACATAATCATAAATTGTTGCACAATGCCAATTTTGTTTCGCCATGAGAATGGTGTATGTGTATGTGGAAAAATTGTTTTTGCTCTCGATGCCGTGTACTGAATCGTTTTACACATACTCACATACACCAATAGCGAAATGTGGTGAAAAAAGGATTGAAAAAAAAACAAGCTCGAAATGGCGATTAATATTATAAAATAAAAGTGCGATTGTAACAACATACAGAGGATAAAACGAAGCCCCATTCGCGGCATTTCCTTTCTCCACCACTATCTCTTCGCCTGATAGAGTGTTGAAAGATTTGCGAATGTGTGTTGCAAGTAAATAAAAATAAAAATAAAAGCATTTGCCGTTTTGGATTTGTGAAAGCATTTGGCTTTTATATTCTTTTTTTAATTTTTCTCCTTTTATGTCACGATCAACAACAACAACGAAAAAAGTTTGTGTTTGTGAGAGAGAGAGAGAGTGTTTGAATGCGGCTGTGTCTCTCTTCATCGCCTCTGCACTGGGATGGATATTGAAATGGCAAGCCGAAAAGTGAACAGACAATAAATAAGTAAGGCAGAACTGTTTGAAATGCCATCGAGAAATAAAAGAGTCACAAACGAAAATGAGATGAGACACGAGAAACCAACTTCATTCACTATATTCCATTTGGCACAAATTATACGAACAACGGGACGAATGCTCGCTTTATTTTTCTGTAAAAACTCTCACTGTTTCTCTCTTTCAATTTCTGCGTTTTCTTTCTCTCTCTCCGTCATCCCTCTGCCTCTTTTTGTCTATTTCGCTCGTTCAATTTTTGAGTTGAATTGCTAGGCGGTTTTCTTTTGAAAAAATTTCACTTGCATGCAATTTGCAAGTGAATAGCGTACACATAGATTACAGTGGAGCAAAGCAAGCGGATGTGATTCGCGGAAGAGGCGAAAATTGAAACAAAAATGTGGCAAACTCTCTAATGGATGCTTAACAAAAGACAAATACAAATATTCAGAAATTCGCTTTTTAAAACTAATTCAAAGAGAGAGACAGAGAGAGAGACAGAGAGAGAGAGAGAGAGAGTGTGGGCATAGGAAAGGGAAAGAAAGAGTGAGTGGTGAGAGGGAATGAGTGGTGTGAAGGAGAGTGTGAGAGCACGGTGACGACAGAGCATCAACATAGAAACAAAGTGGAAGGGAAGAGAAGAAGAAAAAAAAATGTAAAGTGAATATTAAGGCGATTGAATCACATTCTGAATGGTGAACAGATGCACGTAAGCGACTTTCGAGCAAAAGGAAAACGGTTCCATTTTCCCAGCCCGTAACAAAAGCGAATACTTAATGCATTGCCATTTAAGCTGTTCACACATATGAATTCGATGTGGTGCGTTGGGGGTATATATCTTTGGGTGAGATTGAGAGTGGAGTATGTTTTTTCTTCGATTTATATTTTTGAAAAGGCGAGTATGTTTTCTGATGATTCTGTTGGTCGTTAAAGTAGAGTATGTTGTAGTACCGTCTAGCCTCCGCGGTCTTCATGGTTTTCGCGCAACTGATAAAAGATAACAACATAGTGTCTTCGGCAAAGTTGTAGTACTTGAGGTCTTCTATAACTAAGCTGAAGAAAGATATCTCTTATCTCTTATCAGTTGCGCGCAAATCGCGCACATAAAAAAGCAAATTTTATATAGAACTTTTTTTTCTTATCATTTTTCGCGCTTTTCACGGAACTGATAAGAGATAACTGTCTTCAGCGATGTTATAGAAGACCTCGAGTGCTACAACTTTGCCGAAGACACCAAGTTGTTATCTCTTATCAGTTCCGCGGAAACCGTGAAAAACCGCGAGGACCCGCTAAAAACGAACATAGTCGCTTTTAACCATTTTTAAGTCGACAGAAACTTGCTCTTCTCTTTCGTAACAAAGTCAATCAAACATACACTACTCTCAATCTCACCCATAGATATGCACAAAATGTTTCACGTACAATTTTGTAACATCCGTTTCCAGTAAAACTCTCTCTCTCTGTGTGTGTGTTTCACGTGCGATACTCGCATTTTGCCATATTTTCATTTGTAAATTGCAACAGCACACAGTCTATTCACAATTCATCATCTCTGCCGTGACAAACGATAATTAACTGAAATTAAT